AACGGAAATTGAATTCAGCTGAACACACTTTACTGTTTATCACAACAAAGGTCTAAGCAAGCGCACGACACTGACAAGGTATGCGATAGAGTACGAGACCAAACGCAACTTCAGCACATCTCAACACTGTAAACAAACAAGCTTACTTGCATATATATATATATATATATATATATATATATGTATATATGCACATACATACATATATACACTGCAGTTCCAAAGTTTGGGATCAGTAAGATTTTTAATGTTTCTTTAAAGAAGTTTCATATGCTCATCAAGGCTGCATTTATTTGATAAAAATGCAGTAAAATAGTGAAATATTATTACAATTTATAAGTGTTTTCTATGTGAATATATTGTAAAATATAATTTGGCATATTTATTGCAGTGAAGTCCATTGGACTGCATTATGGTAATTTTTTGTTTATTCCTGTGATCAAAGCTGAATTTTCAGCATCATTACTCCAGTCTTCTGCGTCACATGATCCTTTAGAAATCATTCTAATATGCTGATTTATTACCAGTGTTGGAAACAATATTTGTTGGAACCCGTGATGCTTTTTTTCAGGATTCTTTGATGAATAAAAAGTAAAAAAAAAAACAAAACAACAGAAGAGAATAGAACACTGTTATTTCAAATTGTAATATTAGTGCCGTTCAAAAGTTTGGTATCAGTAAGATTTTTAATACTTGAAGAAGAACTCATCAAGGCTGCATATTTACCTCGGCAAGATCTTCTGGAATTTGCCGCTGGCTCTGATGTCTCTATAGTGGTTAAACCTGAGATTTAATTCATTTTGGGTAAATCTAATGGGCAGTCTTTGTTCTCAGTAATCTATTATTTGTAAGGTTGTATATTTTATGTAACCTTAATGCTGTAGCTATATCAGAGTGCTGCATTTGTACTTTTGACTGAATTGCCAAGCAACTTTTATGATGGCTGTTTTATATAAAGATTATTATTCAATAAATAATATTTTATATAAATAATAGTAGTATTTAATTAATAATAGTATTTGGTATTGAGAAACGTGTGTGTTCGTGATGGTGATTTTATGGTGCGTTCAAGTCATGTCGAATAGATCATATTTATGAGTTGAACGCACATGAATGCCACCACAAAGCTGTTGTTACAAGTGGGAAACTCAAAATTTTCTTTAAGGCCAAAGTTTCCGAGTTGGGGGCATGTCAGTGAGAAAGCAGCGTCTGTATTGAAGGTAAATTTGTTGAAATTAATTAAATGATTTTTTTTGTCATATACAATAAAATATTATATTATTGTATAATTACCATAGAATATATAATGATTCAGTTTACATCACCTTCATAAATTGAATAAAAACAGAAAAAAAACAAAAACACAATGATGCACATTATTTGTTCATAATTTTGTAGATGTATATTTAAAAAAATGGTTGAATTATATGTAGAAAAGTTAAATTGCCATCTTGTTCCGACCAAACATGAACGTACCTGACTTCATGAATACTAACTTCCCAGGAGGACTTGAATGCATCATTAGTTACATTGTTACGCCATACTGTGAGTGAGTCAGCAGTAAAGACTTTTATATTGAAGAGACTGAAACAGGGTTGTAAACAAGGAAGTTATTTTACTTTCAACAACAACTTGTAAGATGCAGCCAACAAATGCACTGAGCAGCGCTGTCATTGGAAATCACCCGTAACAGATGAAAGGATAGTATGACAAAGATATCACTTTCATCACCACACATTCAAACTAATGTTTTATTGTGAATATGAGATTGAGCATGAAGAATGAATGTTGTATCAGATAGTAATCACTCTCATAGTCCATCTCTCTCTCATAATCCTCTACTCTACATAATACAGTGAGCTTTTAATAGAGTAATCCAATAATCTTTCAATGAACCAACTCAACATTCCTTCGTTACTAGTTCTAAAAAGTATTAGTAACAGAGGCTTGGGAGCTGTTAAACTGTCAAACTGAGATTTGAATTGGTGGCGGAAGGAAGTAGTTCGGCACAAAAGAGGGTATTTAAAGACACTCCGTTGTCTCTTTTTTTATTTACACACTTGTGCTTTCGAACGGTTCTATAAACGCAATATCACACTTGTAGCAGTGCGATATGGCTGTATATCAGCACACTGTGATTACCTGCAGCCTCCTGCCTACCGAATCACAGCCGTTCTGAAAAAAGCCATATGCTACGAGTGTGATATTGATTATATATATATATATATATATATATATATATATGTGTGTGTGTTTGTGTGTGTGTTTGTGTGTGTGTGAATTACAA